CATGTAATTTTGGGGGTCTTTGGGGCACGTTTTGGGGTTGCTGATTTTTCCAATGTCATGCATGTTAAATTCCTTTTTTTTAACGTACATTTTGTTCGCAAATATAGAAATGTGTTTATTTACAATGTTTAAGTTTCTTTATAGATGGGATATGTCCAGCCTCATAGCTAAACTTACTCCCAAATCTCATATTAGTGACACTCTATGAATGTCTGCTTTTCATGAGGACAGTTTATTTAATTTTGGAAAGGACAAACATAACAAAAATATTTGAGAAATGCGAAAAAGCCCTATGTTCTGTTGGAACAGAGAAAGCTCTAGTTTTGGTTCTTTTTGGCTTTTCTGCATACTTGTTCTGTTCCAAGGCATTGTGAAGTTCACTTTTCATCATTCCTAAACACAATTTCCTTGTACGTTGTTTGTTGTGCCCCATTCAGAACAAATAGCCAAGTCGTAGTCAGTCTGCATGGTTTTGCCGCCGGACATCCGACGTTTGGAGGGCGAAAAATATGCGATTGCGCAATACTCCTTAATGCACGTCTATACGCCTGGTACAGAAATGGGGGCGAGGTGAATTTTGACTATGCTAACACGTGACTCGCTGAAGAAAATCTCATTTTGCGCCTTGAAAAACTTTTTCAAATTACAAAAGCGGGTGTCATTAGGATTCAGAGAAGACTACTTTAGGTCCACAAATGTATTTTGGAATAATTATACTCCCAACACGCTATCGTGACAACAATTAACACCAAAAAGCTGAACTTCACAATACCCGTTATTTCAGTGTTTTTAAAAAAGATTTTTCTCCGCGCCACTTTTGCCACTTTTAAAATAATCTGATCCACTTCTATTTTGGCATACTCTTAGACCACCATGTAAATTCGTATCTCCAAGCATGACGTCACGATTACATCATCGCTGGTCACGTGACATGGTGGTAAAGTTGCATTCTTTGCAGGCCAATATCTCCTCAAGTACTTGTCCGATGGGGTTGAATCTGTGCATGTACCTAAGCCGGGATGTGTTATATGTGAAATTTTAGGGGACGGTATGATGACGTCATCCACGATTTTATAGGGAATTTTGAAGTTTTGAGATGCACTTCTATATTTTACGAATGCAACACGCTAAATTCACAATTCTTTTTGTATTAGGTTTGTCAGGTCATACCTACCTGCACAATAAAATGATAAAACGTGTGACGTCATGGTGACGTCATCAAAAATGCCATTTTTTAAAACACATGTATACAAGCCAAGGTTGGATCGTCACGAAACTTGGCATACAGCATATGTTGATATTGTCATGCAAAATCCGAAATTACATCATAATGACGCCATCGGCAGATTTTTTACCAATTTTTGAAAATTTTGTTTGTTTGAAAATTTCGAACCCGATCTGGACTTTACATGGCAGACGAGAGGCTTAACCGTTGAATGGCTGCACGCTTTGAAAAATAACACATATAAATAATGTATGGGCACACCTGAATTTGTTTATCTTTCATAATCTGTTTCGTCATAATTTTTCATTGTCTGTTCAATTTCACGGGGCAAAATAATCAGTTTCCATGGGGGGATCTTTCCAAAGTTAATGAATATCCCCACAAGTAGTCAATGTACTATATTCCAAATCCATTACAAAAAAGCTATGCCTGTGCTCCATGCAAAAATAGAGCAATATTATAATGCCAAATTTCATCCAAAGTTCACAGACATACAAGCTCACAGTCCCGCGCACGGCTTCCACCCTTCTTTTTTACAAACCCTCAAATTCATGGTCCACAGTAAGCTCTAATACCAAAGAATTTGAGGGCATGCATAAATAATTGTGATTTGTCCGGGGCAGTTGCGATCTGGCCAGCGTAGGCCATTTTGAGCCTACGCACTACTGCACTAGCTTACCATCAGAATGCAGGTCAGGGGTAAATTCAATGATGTGGCCCTAGTTTTTTACAGGGCTGATCAATCTACATGTACATGTATTAGTACTGTGACTTCAAATACTCATGGCTCTTGAAACTTAATCTGTTCGTGTTATCAACATTCACTGCCTGGACGAAAGACTGCAGCATTTCAATTTCAATTTATTTGTTCAATGTTGCCAGCATGAATCTCTACTTCTCGGTTTTGCACATAAAATACAAACTCATACAAACACAGAAAATGGACTAGAGAAAAAGACAGCATACAAGTGAAACATCATGGTAACAATGGCACTCGATCTGGATAATGCCAGAAAAAAAAGGAACACAACGCAACAGGGTAGTAATTCAATGGAACTTCATTTATTGAACTGTATTTCGTTTTCCCCTTCAATAAATGTAATTAAATAATTACCTTGTGCTGTTATTCCTTTTATTTCTTTCATTGTCAGAGGCCCATTGTTGCCATGGTGTTGATATAATAATTGTGTTACTAGTGTTTGGGGTGGTAACAAAGAAAGGCCTGTAACATTTTCGCGAAAGGCTGAATATCAGTGAAATTTGTACTGAATAAAATCAATATACCCAGATCAAATTTTGGCCGAAGAGAAAAAACTATAAACCCTCCCTGTTTTTGTTGGAGACAAGGATCTATCCAAGGGGCATTTTTTTTGGTTCTAACCCTGTACATGTTTTACTTTTGCCGCCACTTTTGACATAACAGAACTAATTTGGTGAAATTACCATGAAACCCAACTTTTGCAAATAAACCGCTGTGATTTCCTCCACCTACGAGTGACGTCATCATACCTCATGTCAAGTCATGATTTTGAGAGTGCATATTTTAATATTCCATTTCTAGAGAACTGTAAGTTTTGGGGTTGAAGCCTGGTACAAAGTGATGTATTTAGGTTACATTACAAATGTCCCAGTCATTTGTAAAAGTGATGCAATCTTTCTCCGCGTTTTCCTGCGCCCCGTACATAGTTTCAAAAGTATATGTACGTTTTGTGTGGCTGATTTGAAAATGATCTGAATGCTAGTGTTTTTACAAGGCTAATGAAGATGCATTATAATTTTGAAGTTTTCGATGCACGTGAAGTGCCAAGTTTGCCGGTGTGTCAAGTACATGATCTGCCAGTGTTACTCATAAACGTCACATACAACTGGGTCGCATACATTTTTTGATTTTAGATGCTCTGTGGTGCAATCTGAGGCGATTACTGGGCACTTTCTTCTGAAATTTTGGAGCAGAATGTGTTTTAATTTTAAGAAGAATTTTCCTTTATTTGTTAAAATGTACTCTTGTTCTTATAAAGTTTCTTCTGTGCTCAAAGTTGAGAGCCATGCATTTTCATGTTACCTCGCCATATTTGCCATGCTTTGATGTGCTTTGGGTGTTTCACATGGGATACGAGCGATTTCTTTCCACTCGACGTGGTACGCGTAGTTGATAATGTCGTGGCAAACATTGCAATAAACCTTGCCAGCGGCAGCGGTTGCCATTTTATCGAAACACTCTTGAAATTCATGCTGATGCCCGTCAAGAATAACGGAGTCCCGAAACCATTCCCACCAAAACTTATTTTTCACTTCTTTATCAAGCTCTCGCACTGATAAATCTCCTTGTGACAGTATCGACTTGTTGGGCGCAGCCATGTTGGAAGCATACGCACACAAACACTCCAAGCCGACGCATGTAAAACAACAACGTGCATAATCAAATCCACATGATTGTACTGTACTGTATGTCATTGTGCACGCTGAGTAATATTAGTCTGTACACCTGACCAGTGCAACACATGCATCTCAAGTACCGACACAGGAACTAGACCTAAATTATCACAACCTCGGACCCGAGCGAAAAATCACATGATCGCGCTAATGGCAACACATTGTCTTCAACTTCGTTCTCACATTGGGTATTCAATATGTACGTGTGTACCGGTACATATCGATCAACGAAGTAATGTTCATAAGTAAATTTCGGATATTTCGGCAAGCAAAACTCATAATGAATAATTAATTAGCACATTCCACCCCCTATTTTCTCAACGGATTCACATGATTCACGTTGGTGGACTTTTGAGGCAAAAAAAAAAACGGATTTCCGGGGAAAAAAATGGAGAAATCACATCCCGGTATAGCACTGTTTGACCAATTGATATCAAACCTGGTAGGTAAATAGACAGGGAAATGATAAAAATCGGTTTGTCAAGGTCATGTGACCCATACTTCCGGTGTTACCGAGGTGTTAATTTGAGACCCTTATCATATCTCATGAATTATAAATTTGACCGGGTTGATAACTAATAATAGTAAGAAGCAACATTCAAAGATTAATATATTGCATTATTAATACGGTGCATTTGATTATTCTCATGGTAGGACGTCATGAATATCTAATGAGGCAATATTGTGATCACCATATCTCCACAATACAATAAGTTATGATTACAGTTCTTTGCACATTTACTCATATTGGACTGAAATGCACCTCCTCGAATGTCAAGATCATGTGACCCTTACTTCCGGTTGTACCGGAAGTGCAATTTTTAAAAGTAATAATTTAAATTTGATCAGTTTCCTTTTTTTTTTCTTTTTTTTTAAATCATTAGGCCTAAATCATTTTGTTTACGGTCCAATACACAATCAAAACTGAGAACAGCTCTGCGGTTGTTCACAACCACAACTTATAGTTTCTTTTACCTGTCGTTATTTTCATTTGGGCATATAAGTAATTGGGTCATACAACATTTTGGGTGCAAACATCATTATTTTAAAGAGCTTAAAAAACATTTTTCCCCCAAGAACAAAACTGGTTGAATTTTACGTATGTGTTCATGGCAACCTGCATATACAGGTTTTTGAGTAGCTAAAATGTTAGGGTCAGGTACTTTTCATGTCAATTCTTACTGGACTAAATCCTGTAAGAAAACTTTGTTCAAGTCGGACACTTTTGTTTGCTTTTGACAGGATAATTTAGGTTAGCCTGATCCTGTTTTGAAGGTATTTATGTAGAATAAAAACAAACACAGACAAAAGGGGAGGGTTACCAATGAGTAAAGAAACTTACCCTACTTCATTGAGGTATAAGTACAACTCTAATGGGTCTGTCTTCTCAGTGCCATCAGCCAGGTTCTTCACTCGAACAGGAACACCTGCAAATCATGACAAGAAAATAATCAATTTGGATACCAACCCTGTGATAAGGGACTAAGGTCTTTGAAAAAATAGATTATAGTGAGACATTGCAACAATTGCAATACCAAAATGGTGTCGGACAAACATCGTATTGACTACGAAAAATCTGTACCGCGATACTTAGCTTATCACCAAAAAAAATCAGACTATGTACCTCCATAATGAAAGTGGAGAACACAATGAGAATGGGTACCTTTGTCACAGCATTTATTTATTTATGTGACCCTCAGTTTCATGTGACCCTCTGCTTGCCCAGCATCTTTTAAATATTTTGAACAAGATGTGATGGGTGCAAGGATTCTTCAAGCAGGCCATTTTTCTGATATCTGAAAGAGAAATTCCAATTTCATGGTATCTGAAAAAGAAACTCCAAGCAGCTCGGTCCAGGAAGATGTCACGCCGAGTATTTCCGGAGCTTGAGATTTCGATCCTCGATTCTTGGAAGGTCTTACCATTGTCTCCAATATCCATCGAGTAATCGTGGTCACATAGGCTTTATGGTAAGGCTAGATGGCTGTAATGAGCAGCTGCTTGATGTTACCTCTTGAAGGCACCTTAGAGCTAGCACAGGGCACCACCATATCCTACGCTGAAAAGACCATAGGACCATAGGATGAATATGACTTGAGCAAAAAGCTGGAAGCTGGTTGTTCAGATGGGATGCAAGTAGGACCTGAAGTAGCATTCCGAGAATATTGAGGACCTACATGTATCTGAATACCGATGGGTGAGGATACCATTCTGTTGAAGTGATTTAACCCCTGGAAAGAGTGTTGGGAAGTACCTTCTTTCTGGATAGATGGGATGCTACAAGGAAGATGTGTCACGGAAGGAACCACTTGAGTAGGTTCCAAATTGCAAGCACTGAGATAGAGAGTGAGTTCCCCCTTGAAGGTTGATGTAACTTCTTAATACATGATGTAAGACACTACAATTTGTACTGTGGAGTTGTCCGTCTTGACCACGACAAGCTTGATTGGGACTCTGCATTCGAGCAACTGCAAGGATGTGTAAGTTGCTCTCTTTAGTTGATCAAGTGACGGGCCCTGACTGGCCATCCAGATGGACTCTCTAACCCTGCCCGAGGCATCCATTGTGTGGGTAGATGAGGGTTAAAACGACCACACCACAGCAGGTTGTCCTAAAAAAGCCGCCAGTGCAGTAGATCATTGATAAGATGGGTTATTGGAATCCCTTTGGAGATCGATGTTAGCATAGATGGGAGTGACACAGGGAAACCTGCATGGGGCGCCTGTGTGACCTGCACCAGGGGACTAGTGCATGGGGCGCCTGTGTGACCTGCACCAGGGGACTAGTGCATGGAGCGCCTGTGTGACCTGCACCAGGGGACTAGTGCATAGAGCGCCTGTGTGACCTGCACCAGGGGACTAGTGCATAGAGCACCTGTGTGACCTGCACCAGGGGACTAGTGCATGGAGCGCCTGTGTGACCTGCACCAGGGGACTAGTGCATGGAGCACCTGTGTGACCTGCACCAGGGGACTAGTGCATGGAGCACCTGTGTGACCTGCACCAGGGGACTAGTGCATGGAGCACCTGTGTGACCTGCACCAGGGGACTAGTGCATAGAGCGCCTGTGTGACCTGCACCAGTGGACTAGTGCATGGAGCGCCTGTGTGACCTGCACCAGGGGACTAGTGCATGGAGCGCCTGTGTGACCTGCACCAGGGGACTAGTGCATAGAGCACCTGTGTGACATGCACTAGGGGACTAGGTCTATCAGATTCTTTATAAGGTTTGAAAGCTCCGATCCAATCACGTAGTGTCTGATGTAGTTCCCCAGTTAGAGGTGCTCTGCCTGTAGCCAAGTTGAGAAACTCTTCAAGGTAGGTCAGTTGTTGTGAAGGAGTCACAGAAGATTTCTCGATATTGAAGATGAAAAACAAGATCAAAGGTCAGTTGGTCAGTTGATGAGAAGGCTATTCTGAAAATAGGGCCTGCTCTATATAGCCTATCATGGATATCACAAATGGATCTGCCTTTGTTGAAAGAATGCTGCCACAACAATGGCGATTCTTGTAAAGACCCGAGGAACTGTGGAAAATCGGAAGGGTGGGCGGCGACACTCTGACAGTACATAGACTGAGAGTTGGATAGGGTTTAATCAACATTTTGGGAACAAATCCCCTGATTGTCTTAAAGCATAGTATCGACCCTGATCACAGAATGGCCAGTCTTAAGTTTTGCTAGATCAGACTAAGGCCCATTGGCGCCATGCCAAATGTGGCCAATTTTGCATTTCATCAAAATTTTGAGAACAAGAACGAAACCAGTATCATTTGATAGCTTGGAACTTGTAGATTATGGAAATATAACTTAAGAGCAATTTTAGATCTAATTAACTTAACAGCGGCCTGAAAAGCGCGGAGGGTGGGCGTGGCCGTCACCCCCTCTTTTTCCTTTTCGCTGATACCGTGGCAACGCGACGGTAAAGGTGAAATGAAAGCAGTTTATATTGATGCCTTGGCACTTGTGGAACATGAAAATATTACTTAAGAGGGCTTTTGGGTCAGACTAATTACCTTAAGGCCGGCGGGAAAAGCCAGAAAGGGGCGGGGCCTCAACCCCCCTCTGTGTACATTTTGGCTCCTATTGTCGCAAAGCATTTCTTAAATCCTGCCAAGTTTCTGAACAGTTGTTCACGTGCCTTGCGGCTATTGACACCAGGTTTAAGAAAATGTGGCATACCTTCGTTAACATTTGGACAAAATGTCCAAATGTTAACTTTTCCCATTCAAAAGTGCATGCAAATGAAAGCGTGCATCAGAGTGCCGACTAACAGATCAAATAGAAGCTGTGCAAATGTACTTCAAATTAAAAATGGGAAAATGAAACAATTTTTATTGATGCCTTGGCACATGTGGAACATGAAAATACAATTTAAGAGTGATTTTTTGGTCAGACTAATTAACTTAAGAGTGATGCGAAGAGCGCGGAGGGGGCGGGGCCGCAAGCCCCCTCCATGTACATTTTGGCTCCTATCGTCGCAAAGCATTTCTTAAATTCTGCCAAGTTTCTCTGACTGTTGTTCTGATGTCCTGCGGTTATTTTGACACTATGTTTATGGCAATAGGGCATACCTTCGTCACAAAATGTCCAAATACCAAAACAGGTATAGGCTTAAATGCTAACTTTTCCATTACGTAGAGCTAGAGCATGAATATCTGACATCAGAGAGCGCATGCATATGAGTGCATATGACCACTTTAACAAAACGTTTTAACAGGTTGAACTGAAACTTTACAGTTGTACTACACTTATTCTGGTGTCCATTAAATAATAACATATGTGGAAAGAGCATTTTAGACCTCCGTTGCCCTCAGCTGGGGCAAATTACTTTGTATACATGTACCTTAGTTAAGTTTTCACTAACTTAATTTTTATTCTTCAAAACGCAACATTTTTTGTGAACCAAGCCACAACTATAAAATGAAAAAGGACAGCATTGCAAATATTATTCTACACTCCTATTATAAATTCAGACCCAATTAGACCATGGGGTGCCCTCTGACCTGTATTTCTCCTTTCTAGTGGCAGCCGCGACAATGATGCGACAATGATACGACTGGATGGAAGGCTGTGGACCGAGATGCCAAATTCAAAGCTTGGTGTGAGATAGTGCTATAGCAGCAAAAGGCATATGGTTTTTCTTGATGGGGGGGGGGGGGGGCCATACTGCCCGGAAAGTTTTTGACAAACTTAATGAGACAAATTTCTAGTTATTGCAGTGCATGGGGGCGCAGTGTTTAATTCAAAGCAACAGATTGCGACTGATTTATGATCTTTGTACAGAATCAAAGTAGCAAAAGCGCTTTACCCAACCATGAAACATTATTTCTCGTTCGCGTTAGCCAGCACCATTTTGTAACCCTTTTACCAAATTCGGCGGTGCACTGTTGTCATGTTTGTCTGGCTTGCCTCATAAAATTTTATTTTGTTGCGCCTGCATCCGCATGAAAACAGAGGACATGGGGATCAGATGCTCTGAAGAAAAAAAAAACTTGTCTCTGCATCTGAATTCATGACATCATGTAAAGAACAATGGAGTAAAAATAAATGGCAAGAATTCCCGTCGAGAGTTTAGATATGGGTCGTGGAAAAGTAGGGTTTGGTTCTTTAAAATATCAATAAATAGGGTATACACGGTTAATAGACCTTTGGAAAGTCACCACAGGGCAAATGTGACATTTTCTCACATCCGATCATTATATTCATTGTATGAAGAACCAACGTACGAAGTTGTATGCTTTTATAGATTCAAAGTGCACAACTGGTTACGATATTTGACCTTAACAGCCGTGTCAGCCCACCCACTGCCCCTTAAGATTTAATTCAATATCTAGCTTCAAACCCACAAACTGATACGTGCATTATCATTTGTTTTTTAATTCGCCACCTACTGCTACCTGGGCTTTCGCATAATTACCCATTATTTTAAGCAAACGTTGATATCTGTAATGACAGGACTCCCCAATATATGTCATACATCTGTAAAGTTTCAATTCAACCTATTAAAATATTTTATTGTCATGATTATTTAAAGTCGGCACTCTCATGCGCCCTTCGATGTACGTTATAGGCTTACATGCTCCATGTAATGGAAAGTTAGCATTTAAGCCCACACCTGTTTTGATATTTGGACATTTTGTGTCGAAGGTATGCCCTATTGTCATAACTTTGGTGTCAAAATAACTGCAAGACATCAGAACAACTGTCAGAGAAACTTGGCAGAATTGAATAAGTGCATTGCCACGATACGAGCTAAAGTGTACATGGAGGGAGGTTGCAGCCCCGCCCCCTCCATGCTCTTCGCACCACTCTTAAGTTAATTAGTCTGACCAAAAAATCACTCTTAAATTATATTTTCATGTTCCACATGTGCCAAGGCATCAATAAAAATTGTTTCATTTTCCCATTTTTAATTTGAAGTACATTTG